GACCATCAAATGACACTTCCTTAAAAATCCAAACATTATAAATTACAAGTCAAAATTGAACTGTACAAAGTCGAGCAACCACGCTCCTTATATACTAATTAAAGTGCACACATCGTAAAATTTCTGTATAAACCGCTAGTAGCTTTGAATTTCAGAAGTACTTTTTTTTTTCTTTTTTGCAAACATTGCAATATCTTAGACCCCGATTTTTCGATGCTCAAACGTCGACGGCTCATCAATTTAATGAGCTGCGACGGCTCGGTTTCGTTGATCTTTTTCTTGAGTGCTCTCATCCTACTATTCTTTAGCATATAAAATTTCTTGACGCCGCTATGATACGCGAAGGGCATCTTAACTAGTACCTGCCCACGTGATACTGTTACATCTGACCTTACTCTCTGGCGGTTGGAATTCCGATAAGATATTACAACCTGTGACTGAGCCCTGACTCAACACAATAAGTAAAATTTACTAAATAAAATTCACACACAAAACAAAACCAGCACACACTTTACAATCAAACACACACTCTACTCCATCAATCATTAAAAAGAAAAAAATCATGCTAAAGCTAGCGTGCTCGCCTTTAATACGCTTTACTACGCGAACGCTTACCAAAATATACACAGCATTCGCTCGGATTCATACGCCGTGTGAATCCGTGTCTCGATAACAATAAGAAAACGGTCTGCCCTTCGCATAATCTAATTTTCTGGTGAGCCGCGTCCTTTTCTCTTTCACGATCTTGGAACCCGAATTCAAGCGCAACTGCCTACAGCTTAATTTCAAATAAATTGCTTCCCCGAATTTCCGGTATGCACACGATTTCCGAAACATTCCCCACAAAGGATGCTCTGTCACACAATTCTTTTAATTTTTCCATTTTTCCAAATAATCTGCGAACTAATTATTAAAAGTATCGGCGGATTAACGTCAGAAACTTTACAGTGCGCGACGTAATTTATCGGCAACATGCCTTCCTCGAAGTTGGGCTGAAGATGACTGTAGAGAAATGCTAGCTCATTCGATTTATTTATATGATTGACATTAAACGAGATAAAAATTTATCATTATTATTATTAATATTGTTATTTATTTATTTACTATTATTAATCAGAGCATCTTACATATATTACAAAATAGTAATATATATACAAGTACGTTACAAAATAATATTGCAACCCAGCAGACGAAATTGATTTCCTGTTTGCTGGTCTGAAATAAACTAAACACTTAATCTAATAATATAACTACTAAACTAATACTAATAAAGTTATTTTATTGCGTGCCTATACGATGGTAATTTTCACTACCATGGTAAACAAGCGACTAAATATGGTAAATACACTTGGTTTATATTCTTCATCAGAATTTTATCAGCATGTTTCTGGCTGTTGTACGATAATCTATAATTGTTTTCCTATCACTTATAAATATATTTCTTTCACATGTTACTTTATAGCGTGGAAACATTTTTTATGTTGTATATCTGTTGTACACTTGCAAGGAGATGTGAAAACGATATCTATAATAACTATATTTTTGTGTTTCAGTTGGAGTTTAAGTGAATAAATTGATTTAGTAAAAGTTTGTTTACCTTGTAAATCTCTATAAAATTAAAGGATTGCTAGGTTGTTACTAAGGTAGTTAATGTCCCGGCATGTTATTCTATGACAGTTTGGTAACAGTATCGGTTTTCCAAGAGCAACTTTTGTTACATTAGTTTGCATATTATTAACTCCAGCCATATTATCCATTATATCAAAAAATGTTTTGACAGGTTTATACAATAATACACTATTGTACACTGCCGGCCAAAAGTTTGGAAACAGTGTTGAAAAAATATGTATTCATGAATTAATTAGGAAATTTATTGATTCACTTGTTTGAAACATAGTATAACAACAAAAAATGTATATTTTACAACAAGAAAAAATATATCTAGACAACAAGAAAAAGTGTATCTAGACATAAAAAGAAAAATACAAAAGTCTATAAAGAAAAGGTATTAATATATCAGATTTTTTTTTCATCAAAAAATCCACCCTTGCTTTTGATGACTGCTCTCACCAACCGTGGCATTCTTTCGATAAGTTTGTCCAAAGTTTCCTGTTCCAGAGAAGCCCACGCCTCTCTTAGCTTCTCCCATAAGTCTCCAGCGGATGTTGGACAACATGTTCTTATTTTTCGATCGAGATCTTCCCACAGAAGTTCGATCGGGTTGAGGTCTGGTGATTGCGGCGGCCATGTCATATTTTCCAAGACACCATCAGCTTTTTTTTGCTCTAAATAACTGCGGCAGAGGATCGACGTATGTTTTGGGTCGTTGTCTTGCTGGAAGACAAAACCACGGCCGGGTCCTCTTAATCCAGAGGGAATCGCATGACGAACGAGAATATTTTTATATTGCTCTTTTCTCATTATTCCATCAATTTTCACTAAATCTCCGGTTCCATGGCCAGAAAAACATCCCCACACCATCACTGAGCCACCTCCATGCTTCACAGTAGGCACTATACACTGAGGTGTCATTTTTTCGGACGCACTTCTTCTCACATAAATTCTACGTCGAGAGCCAAATATTTCATACTTGGATTCGTCACTCCAGAGCACATTTTTCCATTGATCCATCGTCCAGTTTCGATGCCTTTTAGCCCATTGTAGTCTTTTCTTTTTATTCTCTTTACGTAGTAATGGTTTTTTCACTGCAACACATCCTTTGAGTCCGGCAGCGTTTAATCTTCTTTTTACAGTTGTTAGTGAAACCGGTTTTTCACGACTTCTGTTGATGTCTGCGCATATTTCGGGAGCTGTTAACCGTCTATTCCGTTTACTGGTAACCACTATATGCTTACCTTCGCGAGAAGTAGTTACTTTTGGACGTCCGGTTTGAGGACGATCGTGATGATTACCCGTGTCTTCAAATCTTTTGATCGTTGAATGCACACCTTTCAATGAAATTTTCAATTTTTTGGCAATTTCACGATATGAGATACCTTCATTATGTAATGCCAATACAGCTCCCCTTTTTTCAAGTGGAATTTCTTTACGTTTTCCCATGACTGAGCCGTATAATATAAATATGTAAGCCAAAACTTTTACAAATTCCTAAATAAAAAAAAATATTCGAGACAACTTAAAGACGCTTACAGTTTTGACTCAAATGAGGGAAATCAAATACAAGACTTATAAAAAAACAATACTGACAAACCAAAGTAATATGGATAAAAGTTTAAAGCCAAAAAAGGAAACAAAAGTAGAACATCACAATAAATTTCTCATCGATAATAAACTCTCATATCGTCAATATTATGAAAACAAACGGACTGGCAAAAATTCTAAGTTCATACTACTTTTATCTAAAACCTTAACCCTCAAGTTACCTGGAAAGGCTTGATTCTGTGTCATTATGAGCAAAAAATACTTTTTTCGAGGCAAAACTCCTGGAAAAATACATATTTCGAAATCCGAACGCAGTGTTTCCAAACTTTTGGCCGGCAGTGTATATTATCGATTCTGTTTCATATTGCATTACTTTTATAAAATTAATATGTTTAAAACCTATTTGATTTAGATTTTTGCAATCATCTACATGTTTTGTAATGTTTTTTTGGCTGGATATTGCATATTTTATTTGTTTGTACTTTTATTATATCATTTGTTATTATGGTAATTATATTACAATCTTGAGTGATTTTTGTTTGCGTTTTTTTGTAATTATTGTGGTAAAGGTTACATTTGCCATTTGCGTAAATGTAGGTTCTTTGTCTAACAAGGAAAGTACGCCAAGTGTCCCTCTCCGATTTCAATAATACTGAGATATGTTATAGTGCATCAAAACATAAAAGACACGTATTTTTTTTTTATCGGCGGATATGCACTTTAAGGAGGTGAAAACCACCCTCGAAAGTCACCTTTAAAATCACATTTTTTTCAATATCTTCGGTTCTATTCAACATTTTTTAATAAAACAAAATGGAAAGGAATTGCCATGAAAAACGCAACAACAGCATATAGGTTTCGATAATAAGGGTTTCAACTCTTAGATTTAATAGGGGTAAAACTGTATTTTCCTAGTATTTTTTTCGTGTAAAATTTTACAGAACTGTTTCCATACGCATCCCAGAAAACCTTGACCATAATCTTGCCAGCTGACTTTACTATCGTTGCCTTTATTATGCGTCATTATTAGGTTAGCTGAAAGAAAAATCAGAGAAACACTTCCTCACTTGAACAAAAAAAAATGCCTGTTTCTTCAAGACAATGCTCGAGTTCATATTTGTACAGTTTCGATGGCAAAAATTAACGATTTAAAGTTCGAATCAATTGACCATCCTCCATATTCGCCTGATTTTGCTCCCAATAACTTTTTCTTATTTCCTAACCTCAAAAAATGGCTTGCCGGACAACGATTCATGTCGAATGAAAAAGTTATCGCCGAAACAAATGCCTATTTTGAGGGTTTTCAGAAATCATATTTTTCTGATGGCTTAAAAAAACTGGAAGGCCGTTTAATAAAATTTATCGACCTTCAAGAAGATTATGTTGAAAAATAAAAAAAAATTACATACGCAAAACTTTTTTTCCTTTTTGTAAAGACTTATTGACCCCCCTCGTATTGTTTAATTCTTTAAAATCAGCCCCGCAAGTTTTTCTATGCCCATTATATACAGAGCTAGAAAATTTTGAATTCTGGATAATTTTAGTATAGGGTGGGAACTAACTTATGCACGAAACTGTACATGTAATGATTATTTATATATTGTGATATAATGCTGCAGACGGTTTCTAGGACAAAATTCTAAAATTGTCTTTAATTTTATTATAAAATTAAATATATAACATACATGAACTGACAATTTTCATTTCCTTCATTTAGCAACAGCGTTTATATAATTACAGAAATCCAATATTTTTGTTGAATTTGAATGTCTAAATTTTAGGATCTAAAATAAAGTGATTTTTCTTTTATAACGGATTGATTGCGTTATGTATTTTAGATGATTGTTGTCTCTTACCTAATCAAATAATGATCCCTCAAGTACAAGAAGCAAATAGTATAACTGCCATTGCAACTCCTATCTTGTTTTATCAGAATGTTCCTTTACAGGTAAGAATATATTTTGCTAATACTTTTTATTTCAGTTAAATCATTGAATCATATTTGTCTTTTAGGCTCATAATATAACATAATTAACAATTATTAAGGTACTAACATATGAACTTCATATTTATATAATATTTCAATTATCATTATTAATTTTTTAGAAATATTTACTAAAAATCAAATAATTTGTACATTTCATTTCACTATAAATCCCTTGTTAAAAATAATTAACGTATAATTCTCTTTCGAACACTGACATAGCATTTAGAATCAAGTTTTTTTTTATTGCACCAATTTTATTTATAATTTGTCTTTCGAGAGGTTAGATTTCACTCGAGGGGAGTGTGGACGTATCTTGGATGTGAGCGCGAGTTTTGGTGATAAAGTCAAAGAGGAAAAGTGTTTGAGGAGAGAATTAGAGGTGAAAAGAGCGTGGCGGTGGAGGAGGAGTGGAGAAGAGAGAGAGAGAGGCCTGGAGAAGAGCAGGAAAAAGCAGAGAGAAAGGAATAAAGAAAAAAATAAAAATTGAGGTTAAGAGAGAAAATCAGAAAGCGGGAAAGGCAGGCAGAGAGGAGGGGCGGTAAGAAGTAAAGGCAGAGACAGAAAAGGTAAGACAGGGAATAAAGGTGGGATCACGGGTAATTATAGAGAGTAGAACTAAGGCGTACGGGATAGGATGGAAAGATTTGTGACAACAGAAAAATTAAGAGATAAAGGTGGAAGGTTGGATAAGAAAGGCCCAGAGGAGGAAAAGAAGAAAAGAGTAAAGGTGGTGAGGGGGAGAGAAAGCGGGGAGGGGCTGAGGGAGAATAATAGAGGAGAAATGAAAGAGGCAAAGAGATGCAAGAGTGAGAGCGAGGGAAGCGAGATGGATGGGGAGGTGGGAGAAGGATTGGACAACACGTTAAGAGAAGCGGGAAAAAGTAGTGGTGCAGAAGAAATAATGGAAAAGATACGGACAGACATAAGGGAATTAAGAGAGGTATGGGAGGAGGAAAGGAAAGAATGGACAGAAATGTTTAAAGAAATAATGAGAAAAATGGAAAGAATGGAGGGAGAGGGGAAAAGAAAAGAAGAAAGGTGGGAGAAGGAAATAGGAAAAGTGAGGAAAGAACAAGAGAGAGAGAGAGAGAAGAAAGAAAGAAAGAGACGAAAGAAGAAAGGGAAAAAGCGGAACGTAGAGAAAAGAAACTGCAGGAAAAATGGGAAGAGAGGATGGACTAGTTGGAAGATGAGTGCGTGAAACTAAAAGAAAGCATAGAAGGAGGAAACAAGAAGCAAAGAGGAATAGAAGTAGGCAATAAGGAAGAATTAGAGCACACGAGAGAAAAAATGGATAGGGAAAGTAGGATAAACAATATAATAGTAACAGACTTAGAGGGTGAGTTAAGATGGGAAAAGAAGGGAGAGGCTGAGGTCTGGTTAAGGGAGGTACTAGAAATGAAAGGAGAGATAGTGAATCTGAGAAGAATAGGAGGAACAACGGAGAGAGATGAGCGGAGAGAAAGAAGAAAAAACATGTGGCAAATTAGATGCGCGTCATGGGAACAAAAAGAAGGAATTATGAAGAAGAAAAAGAATTTGGCACAGAAAAAGATATACATAGATCAGGACTGGACGTGGAAGCAGAGAAGGATAAGAGAGGAAGTAAGAAGGAAAGCGAAAGAAATAAGAAGTAAAGGTAAAGAGGTAAAGATGTGGCATAACGGGGTGAAATCAGAGGAAGAAGAATGGTGGTGGAGCGAGAGAGAGGGAAAAATGGTAGGAAAATGAGTGGAAGGGTTTAGAAAACAATAGGGATAAAAGAGAGAGAGAGAGAGAAGAGAAGGGAGAGAGAGGGGAGAAAGGCAATAAAAATACTATTCTGGAACATGGCAGGTGTGAGGAGCATGGAGGAAGACGACTGGGAATATGTTAGGGAATTCGACATAATAGGGCTAACGGAAACCTGGGTGAAGAGGCAAGGTGCAAGATCTGGTGTGGAGAAACAACTGAAAGGGTACAGCATAGAGTGGAGGGACTCAAGAAGAGAAGGAAGGAGGGGGATAGAAATAGGGGGAGGAATAATGGCGGTAAGAGAGAGGAAAGGGATAATTAAGGTAGAATGGAAGAAAGAAAGGACAAGTGAGGTAATAGTAGGAGAAATAAAGATCGGAGGGAGGGAATACATGATAGCATCGCTGTATATGCAACATGAGAAGAAGGAAAACTATGAATACCTAAGTGAAGAGATAGAAGAGAACAGAGGAAAAACAATAATTATAGGAGGAGACTTCAATGCAAGAACAGGAACCGAAGGAAGGGAATGGGAGACAGAAGAAAAACTAGAAGAAATTAAGGCCAAGGATAAAGTGTTAAACGCAGAGGGAGAAGAAATGATAAAATGGCTAGGAGAAATGGGCTTAGTGATAACGAATGGGAGAGAAGAAGGAGATGAAGAGGGAGAAATAACATATATAGGAGCGAGAGGAATGTCAACGATAGACTATGTAGTAGGTAACGAGGAAGGTGATGAGGCGATAAAAAAGGTTCAAATAAAGGAGAGGGTAAAGTCGGACCACTTACCAATAGAGGTGGAACTGGGAGACAAAATAGCGGAAGAAAGAAAAGAAGAGGAGGAAAGAATGATAGACGACTGGAGTGAAGAAGGTATAAGGGAGTATCAGAGATGGATAGACGCAATAGAGGGAACAGATAAATGGAAAGATATAAAAAATAGAGTGAAGAACGCAGTTGTAAAAAAGAAGATAAGGAAAAGAAAGGATTGAAAAAAAGCTGATGGAGAGAAGAATATAGGATAAAAAGAGTTAGGGTGATGACAGAGTTAAATAAGGTAAAAAAAGGGGAAGGAGACAGAGGCAAATACCTAGAAGTAAAGATAGAATACAGAGAGGAAATAAGAAAAGCAAAAGAAGATGAAGGGAAAAGAGTGGCAGAAGAAATAAGAACAGATAAGACGAGAAGAAAATTCTGGGATAAAGTGAATGGCAATAGGAAGAAAAGAATTGGATTAGACGAAAATATAGGAAAAGAAGAATGGATGAAGCATTTCAAGGAACAATTGGGAGAGAATGAACAGGAAGAAATTAAAGGGGAAGAAACCGAAGACAGCGAAGGAGAGGAAGGTGAAGAAATCAAAGAAAGAGAAGTAAAAGAGGTAATAAGAAAAATGAAAAAGAAAAAGGCGACAGGAGAAGATGGTATAGCAAATGAAGCGTGGGTGGAAGGCACGGAAAGCTTGATAAAAGATATGACAAAATGCTTAAATGGAATATGGAACGGAGAAGGATACCCGGAATAGTGGAGGAAGGGAATAATAGTACCAATATATAAGAAAGGGAGGAAAGAAGAAGTAGGAAACTATAGAGGAATAACGCTGATGGATACGGGATATAAAATATAGGCGGAAATACTGAGAAAAAAGCTGGAAAGAGAACTAGAAGCTAAAGAAACGCTAAGTGATACGCAGATGCGATTTAGGAAGAAAAGAGGAACAATGGGCGCTATATTTATATTAAAAACAATAATAGGAAAGGAAATAAGGGAAAAAGGAGGAAAACTGTCCTTATTCTTTGCAGACATGAAGGCCGCTTTTGATAAAATAAAGAGGAAGAAAATAACGGAAACAATGAAAGAGAAAGGGATAAATAGAAAAATTAGGAAAAGAATAGAAGAAATATACAATTAAACAGGGAGTAATGTAAAAGTTGGAGGAGAAATAATTGGGAAGTTTGAGACTTACAAAGGCGTAAGGCAAGGGTGCCCTTTGAGCGCCACGCTATTTAATCTTGCCTTCGCCGACCTGGAAGTGAAGATCAAGCAGGTGCAAGAAGGAGGGGTAGTGATGGAAGGAAGAAAATATGGAGATTAGGATACGCAAATGATATAGTGATGATGGCAAAGAGTGAAAGTGGAATGAAAGCAATGCTGAAAAAATTAAAAAGATACCTGGAAGAAAGGGGGCTAGAGTTAAATGTAGGAAAATCAAAGATTATGAAATGCAGGAGAGGAGGAGGAAGGGGGAAGGAAGAAGAATTCGAATGGGAAGATGAGAAGATAGGGATGATAAAAGAGTACAACTACTTAGGGTATGTGATAAGCAGAAATAACGGAAATAAAAAGCAGATATGGAAAGTAGAAGGGAAAATAAATATGGGACTCGGAAAGTTATGGGGGCTAGGAGAAAAGTTATTTAGAGAAAACTGGGAGCTAAAGATGAACCTGTTCGATGCTCTGGCGAAAAGCGTGATTATGTATGGAGCAGAAATCTGGGGATGAAAGAGATATGAGGAAATCGAGAGACTACAACTAAAATACATAAAGTGGGTATTAGGATTAGATAGAAACACGCCAAGTTACCTAATACGATGGGAAACAGGAAGACAAGAAATGAAAGAAACAGCATTAGAAAGAGCAATGAAGTATGAAAACAAAATAAGAGAAGAAATAGATGGCTCAATAAGAAAAGAAGCATGGAGAGAATTAAAGAAAAGGGAAAGAAATGAAAAAGATAAAAAGGGTAAGAGGGAGGAGAGAGAGGAAAGGCTGGAAAAAAGTAAAATATACAGAGAGAGAAAAGAGGGAGATGAAATGAGGGAAGAGTTTTGGGAAGAAATAAGAGATGAGCTGAAGAAAAAAGATGAAAAAGAATTAGAAGAAAAGCTAGAAAAATCAAGATACATAAACGAGTGGAAAGAGCTGAAAGAAGAAATGAAAAGGTATAGGTTAAAGGAAATTCAAGGAGAGCGAAGAATAAAAGGCCTGCAAATAAGGGAAAGGTTTAGGTTAGGTAATGAAACGAGAGGAAGCAGGTATTGGGAAAAAGAAGAAAATAAGAGATGCAGAATGTGTATGAAAGAGGAAGAAAATTGGAAGCACATGGTAGAAAAATGTGAAAAAAGTAGAAAAGAAGGGGAAGAATGGGAAAAAATAATAATAGGAAGCAAAGAAAAGATAGCGTGGATGATGGAGATAAAATGGAAAAGAAGAAGAAACGAAGCAAA